GGTGGAGGGGGAAGAAGGGATCCAGGAGCCGGAGAAGGTAAAGGGCCACCAGGAGCTCCTGGTGGCAAGGGAGGTCCTCCGGGGCCAGCAGCACAGATAGCTCTCTGGAAGAGAAAGAGGAGGGGAGACTGGTCATATGGAGCCAGGTGACACCACCCAAGAAACACCCCCATGCTGATTTTTAATTATTTTTGCCAACATTTAACCAGCATAGGAATCACTCAAAGGTTTCAGGACTCCTGACTGAGGTCCGGTGCAGCTGCAGAGGCAAAATCACCCCACCACCAGGGATGGACATCTTGGTGGCCCTCCCAACAAGCACCTTTCTCAGCCCTCTGTGCACCTCAACCTCCAGAAATCACCCCATGGTGTTTGCAGGGGGTTTGGGATTGGGCCACAAGAAGGAGGAGGTTTGGGGACTCACCCTGCTCATTTCGTGGAGCTGCGCCGTGAGATCTGCCACCTGCTGCTTGACCTGCTTGTGCTCGCTGGACTCCTTCTCCAGCTTCTCCTTCATCTTGTTCAGCGTCTGCATCATTTCTTCCTTCTCCTGGGCCTTGGCATCGCACTCCCGCTCCTTCTTCTCCAGCTTCTGCTGAAGCTCAGTGTGCTCTGAAACAGCCCCATGAAACCACTTTTGGGTGACAAACACTCCCTTTTGACAAACAGCAGCGCACGGGGGACTAACCCCCACGCTGCCCTGCAGAGAAGAAAAGGGAGTGTGTGCTGTGCCTTAACACCCCAGCCAGAGCCTCCCCGAGAAAAAATGAGTGTCTGCTTTGCTCATGGCCTTTGTAAGCGCCATAGCGTGATATTATCTCAGCTATTCAATAAAGCCTGCAGAGTCCATCCAGCTAAATACATGTATATGTTGCCCATTTAGCTTACTGCGCGTGCTACAGTTAAAGTTAATGCTGTATATCTCTCCATCACTCACCTTTTCGCATTTTTTCTGCTTGCTCTTTCCACTGTTTCACTTCATTTTCATTGACTAACCTAAAAGGAAAAGACACGTAGCACGTGAGACAATCCTACAGCAGTGAACAAGTGACCATCAGCAGCAAGAAACACAACGGAGCGAGTCTGGGCAGTGGAATTTAAGACGCTCAAACTGGTATTTCTAACTCCTCTGCTCTGCCTCCCCCCCAGCAGGGTTTTGTGCTCTGGGATGTGGTGCTGTCTCCACAGCTCCAGGGATGCTGGCTTGTCCAACCGAGGAGCAGAAACATCACCAGGTGACAGTAAGTGATGAATGAGGAACGGTGACAGCAGCAGCCAAGGGAAACAGCTCACTGAGGCCACAGAGGCTGAGCTTAATTCGCCTGCGCATTGTGCTTAAGAGGTCACAGTGATGCCAGCCTGGCAGGGACAACCCCCTACCCTGTCCCTCTCGCCTGCTGGCACGGGATGCAGCAAAGCCACCGCAGCTCGTATTGGCGCTGCTCAGCAGCCAGCCCCGGGAAAAACAGGCGAGCACTTACATTCGGACAACATTTTTAATATTGAAGTTTTCCAGGGGAGTGGCGTCAGGGTCCTGCCCTTTGTCACTCTGGATGACGATCTGCTGCACGATCCTGTCGAGCAGCAGCCAGTACTGGACAGTGTTGCCGCTTCTTTTGTCTGGAGGGGAAGGAAAGGAGAGAGTGAGGGGAGCAGCAGGGAAGTCACTGCCGCTCCCGGGGAGGAGATGTGGGCTGCAAAGCTCCCCGGCAGCCGTGGGTTTCCTTGCCTCCCCCGGGACTCACAAGGCATTTGGAGACAGTGGTGCAGGATAGACATAAAGTGCGGGTATGCCTCGGTGTGCGTCAGCCTCTTCCTCGTCAGCTCGAACATCTGAGTCGCACTTTTGGTGTCGATGTGGACCTGCGGATGGCAGCGAAGCGAGGTCAGGCCACAGGACCGGCGACGGCACCACCTGTTTGCCAGGCCATTCCAAACTCCACAAGCCATCCCCACCCCACGCCTGATGGGCAGGCAAGCCCCACTGTCCTGCAAGGGGCAAACGGTGCTGGTTGGCAGCCAGAGGAGAAAAGGGATGAAGCACGCTGTAGGATGGAGGTTGCAACAGAGCAGGGCAACAGGAGACAGATTTCCAACCTCCAAATTTCATCCAAAATACTGCACTTGGTCCCAGGCCATGTAGGTGCTTTTAAAAGGAACTGTGACATCGAGTGCTGGTGTTTGCATCAGCAATGTTTGTACTCACCAGCTCAAATCTTTTGGCAAACTCCAGTTCATCTTCATTTCTAAGCATTTCAAAGAAATCTAAGTGCCTGAGGAAAGAAAGGGAAAAAAAAAAAGACTGTTAAAAGGCAGGTATGAATGTGACAATTAATAAATTGCAGGCAGCCAGTCTGGCAGCAGCCCAGAGACAGGCAGGACTTGAAACATCAACTGTATCTTCAGTCTCGAGATCGCAGTCATTACAGCCTGTCCAAGGAGCTTTTTGGGATGAGAAGAGGAGGACAACTGCTGGCAGCATCATTCAGGCCCCTGATGGCACATCCTTCCCAGCTCCACCCAACGTCAGAATGCAGCAAACCCACGCCAAGCTTTTCCCCTCCCTCCCTGGTGACAGCAAAGAATTTCCTCAAGAGGGGCGAGTCTAGACCCACACTCTTGCCCCAAAGGCCAAGTCCAGAAACCAGAAAGCAAGGATGCAAGGCAAGGGCAAAAATAGCCAGTGGGCTGGGGGTGACTACTCACCTGTCAAGAGTTGAATTTTCATGCTCTCTTAATTTATCAATGACTGGCTGGATCCCGAGCATGAGAAATTCGTATCTCAGATGGAGTCTGAAATCCAGGCTTTCCTGCAAGGGACAGTTGTGGGGTCAACACAGCAAGGTGCACATCCTCAGAAACCTTACTGACATAAAACCACCCCAAACCCACCAAAACACCTCCCATTCCAAGAGCCCTGGCGCTCACCACGCCTGCCCCCTGGCTCAGGACCGCGTTGATGAAGGACATGATGGCTGTCTTGAGGCTCACTTCATCTCGATACCGCCCCGTGCTCTTGTCCAAGTCATTGATCAGCGTCTGCCAAACACACAATGTCAGTTAAACGCCTGATGACAGCCCCAATGCTGCACAAACGGCCAGGGGATGCATGTAGGAACAACTCCTCGTGATGCTCCTACAGACCCTGTAGCAACCTGCTGGTGCTGGATCATCAGCTGCTGCCTGCTGTAACGCAGCCCACCCCAGCGCCCAGTTCAGCTAACACCAGCCCATCCAGATGTGCTGCAGCCTTGCAGAGCTGTGATCCCAGAGACCCTGCACAAGCAAGCTTTTTTTTTTTTTGAGGGGGTGCTGCCTTAAATAACGGGTTCCGCCCCCTTTCCTCAGCTGCAGATCTCATCAGACACGGTTCTGAGGTATCCAGAGTATCCAAGCTGCAAACGGCCATAATAAATCATTTGCAAATGGCATTTAGATATCCAAGAGGAGCAAGGGACAAGAATACCAAATTCCGGGAGCCAAGGGCAAGTTGAGACCCACCTACCTGAAAACGAGTCCGTTCGCTGGCGTATTTCTGGTAGTGCAGCATCGCCTCCAGTACCTTTTTGTGGCCCCCGGGAACCAGGCACACAGCGCCCATGATTTCCAGCACTGCCACCTTCGTCTTAATATTCTCCGTGCTCAGACTCTGAGCGATTACGTTAATACTCTCCGAATGGGCCAGGACGTGAGCCCGGCCCAGGGAGTTGTTCATTAGTGCTTTTATACATCCAATGAGCGAGGTATGTATGCGAGACTCTGCCGTCTCATAGTCCATGCTTTTGAGAAAGTTCAGAATACACGACAAGCCATCCAGGTCGATGAACCGGGTTACAAACCTGTCAGAAAGAAGGTCTTTAGCTCCAAACCCAAACGGTAAAGGCCCCTTTTACCTTCACACAGGGCTGACTTGTCTGTTGTTGTAAACCCAGGATGTATTTTTCCCTGGATTTTGGATAGCAGAAAGCCTGCAGGACTCCTATGGCCCAGAGACAGAGATGGGGTTGCAAAAATCAATTTAATTGGTGCACGGTAGCGTAGGCAACCAGGCATCATCTGTACAAGGTTGTCCAGAGCTAGGATATTTGGGAGAGGACCAGCTAACCCAGTCATCAGCACAAGTCCCTGGGTGGAGGAGTTTGCAGCCACACTACTGCAAAACCTTCCCAGTCCCCAACCTGAGTCTTAAATCTCACTCGCTTGGGACCGGTTTTGCACAGGGCTGGAAGAAGCTCCCGAGCCCTGGAATCACCTCCTGGTCAGCCACAGACACCCCAACATCATGCGAGCCCATATCCATGATGCCTGTCAGACTGTCTGCCTCCTGCTACCTCTCCTGTCTCACCATTCACATCCTTCTCCTCCCTTAGGCACATCCCACCAATTTTAAGGGATTTCTGATTTTTTATGACGACTTATAATGCCGCTAAATAGAAAGCAGACAGCAAACACACAGCAGTGCTCCAGGCAGATTCACTAGAGCAGGCAGACATAACACTGCATGCTGCTCAGGCATTTTAGGACCTCCCTGCCCGATGCCATCCAGGCTGGGTGTATTCTGGTTTGGCAAAAGGCACGGGCTCGGAAAGCAAATGAGCCAAGAACATCCCAGCACTGGGATGATTTTAATTCGAAACAAGCCATGCTGATGCGCAGCAACAAAAGGGGTAATTGCAGGCTTGGGGAAAACTGATTTCTCTGCTTCAAAGCCTGCTCTTCTTCCAGCCAAAGTCAATAGGAAATTTGATGTTCACTCCCCTGGGAACAAAAGCAGGTCCAACAGGTAAAATTGTCTATAAAGCTTGTTGGATCCTTCTGGCTTCCAGTGAGAGAGACTCACAAACCACTTTTAAGTGAAAGTTTCATGGCTGGGTACCAGCCCCGCTCCCAGGCGACTGAGGGGAGCCAGCACCCAAGATGTCAGGGTTCCACAGAAACTGGGTGCTCACCTTTGACCCTGGGAATTTCTTACCAAGTACCACCACCAGGATCATTGCAAAACAGAAACGGAAGAGGGGAATGCAATTACAAGCAATAGCTGTTTCTTCCATAATCGGACCAGGTCACAAAACATTTTCCCATCAGAAAATGTCGACCTGAGGCATCTTAAAGGTTTTGCAAATGTGTGCATGCACACTCCAGAGAAACTGAATTTAGGAAAAACTACAGACATCCAGAAAACGTCCCACCCTTTCTTTATCCTCCCCATCAAAACCTCCTAGCAACATTAATTTTTTTTTTTGTGTTTCATAAAAGCCTGAAGATTCATGTGATTTTATTCCTTTAAAATGTGCAAGAGAAGCTGAAGTTGAAACAAAGGGCTTGGTTGACCAACAAAAATTGGATTTTTTTTTTTTTTTAAATTCAATTTGGAAGGAATTTTTACAGTCTGTTCCAATGAGAACAAAAGCAAATTTGAAAAAAAAAAAAAAAAAGTTGCCTGATTTGCCTGAACAGACGTGAAGGTCCTGGTGGCTCTCAGACACTGAAAGGACCGAGGAAAAGCAACAACATGACAAGAGGTGAATTGAAAAAAGCAAGTGGCATTTCAGGGTCCTTGCCTCCCTCGTCCTGAGCAGGGCCCGTTTATATTTCTATTTAACCCCCCCTCTGCCAGAGGACATGAATCAAGAGCCGTGACCGCGGCGATAAAGCCAGGAAACAGAAGGGAATTGCCTCATTGGTTTCGTCCGCAGTGCAGTCTTCAAACTTTCGATTGTTTTATTTCTCTCCTCCTCATCTTCTTTTTCCAAGGCGATCAGTGATTTTCTCTGCAAAAGGAGAAAGGCCGGTGTGAGAGGGGAGGTTTCCCTGCGAAACACGTGCCTGAGCAGTGGGAGCACCCGCTGCCTCGCCGAGCCAAGCCGTGGGGACGGAGCCGGGACCTTAAACTGACTCTGGAAGCCTAAAAGTCCAGACACTTACGGCAATCACAGGACTTGGGAAAAGGAGGAGTGAGGAGAAACCCTCCACGGTCTGCAAGGAGACGGCTTGGACTGGGGACAGCACGGTGAACATGTTGCTTTAGGCTGAAAGTGCTGCCCGCAAGCACCCAGACACCTCGCTAGCACATGTAAAATTAAGCTGCGAGTGTTCAGTGACACCCCAAACCAGCACTGGCTTTGGAACAGTGTTGCTGATGGCCTTGCATCTCCCCAGCCAGTTGGGTTTTGTTTCAAAGAAGTGGGAAACAACCATCGGCCAGCGCTGAGAGAGGCTGCAGGAACCCAGTGCCCTCTTTTCCAAACCGGTCCTCACCCCCCAGCAAGCCCTGGCAAGACGCTGGGCTTTACTGCCCCAAGACAACCTCGAGAGGACACACTTAGCATCGTCCTGCATGATCATTAAGTTTCAGAGTTAACGCCCTGCAGGTAGGAGTGGTGTCATCCCAAATTGCTGACCTGCAACACATCCAGACAAGCCCATGCTGGAGGGTGCTCATGACTGTCCCTCTCCAACCCCCAGGCTCAGAGCAGCGAGAGGGAAAGGCTGCAATTCAGGAAAGCATCCCAGCTCTGGATGTAAACCCTGGCACATCCCCTACAACCCACAACCCTCCAGGAAACGCACTTTGTAAAAGGGAGAGGTAAATAAGTTCTTCACAGTATCCTATAAGAAAGTGTCTGTCTCAACCCTGCTCAGAGATGCTGCAGGTGACATCTGGGTGATGTGAATCTTGATGCGTTTCCAGAGGACGATCCCAGGGCTGGAGGGGGGCTGTGAGGATGCAGAGGGCTAAGCCAACACTAACTGCGGGTCCACAGAGGGAAGGTGCGAAATTGGGGCAGGAGAGACGGAGGGGTCCTCTAGCCTCCCCTGGTACCCATGCGTCCCAACAGGTACCCATGCGCCCCCGCAGAGGAGGTGGGGGGCTCAGCAGCCTGGAGGGGACGGGATGGTGCATCCATGCTTGGGGGCAGCCAGGTGGGTCCTGTTGCTTGCAGGTCTCCCAGTGCAACCCACCAGCGTGCATCTGGGTTGGGGACAGGGGCTGTGTGCACGGGATGCCCTTGGCATCTCCCACACTGGATTTTGCTGTCAGGCTGGCACTGGGGGCCGGGACACTGGCCCCTGCGGCTCTACTTGGGTCACACGGCTGCCTGCAGCCCCACGCACGTACGGGGTACGGCTTGCTCACCCCAACTCATGCAACCAAGACTACAGCTAAAGCAACACCCTGGGTGCTTCCTGCACCATCCGATGGCGCTGGGCTCTCAGAGGTGTCAGGGTGAGCCCTGCCAGCACTAGCCAAGGCTAAAGGAAAAGAGGGAGGAAGAGTCCCCGTAGATATCAAGAGCTGCGCTGAGCCCCGCATTTAACCCAGCTCCTCTTCAGCACCGTGTCAGGGAGATCAAAGCCACCCTCCAGGCATCTGGCAGGCTTTGATCACAAGCTCTGCTCAGGCTCAGGGCTTCGACCGGCTGGCAGCCTGTGGCCAGCCCCGGTCATCCCTGCCTTCCCGGAGGGGAGCAGCACGCTCCTTCCTGGCTCACCGCCCCCACTCCCTGTCTCTGTCCCCACTCCCCCTATCCTCCCTGTCACCCTGGCCCCATGACAGCATGGCAGACATGGGTGGGGGGCATGGGAAATTATGCTTTTCTCTTTTTTGTTTTCCATGCTGCTCCCATCCCCAGTGCAGCGGCCACAAACCTCAGCACCTTCAGCCTCCGAAAGGAGGAGTGAGGATGGAGGGGCTCTGAACTGCGCAGCCTTGCGGGAAACAAACTTATTTCCTACAGAAAAGAGCGCTATTTCTGTCTCACCTGGCAAGATGTCGACAAGAAAGTATTTCATAAAATTACATCTAAGCACACTGGCAGGTCGGGGCAGGGGGGGGACACCCAGAGCCACGGCAGCTCCATTGGCCCTTGTGGGGTGGACAACCTGCAGCATCATGTTCTGCCACGGCTGCCCGGCACAGAAGGGTGCCTCGGGTACAAGACTATAGCACTGAGCAATCAAACGAGGTCTTCACAGCCTGGTGGCTTTATACCGAAACCTGCTGTTTGCCATCCATCTCACAGCCTCCCAGGCCGGGGTGAGATGAAATGCAGAGAACATCTCCACTTTACCGCTCTATCTGCTGGTCTAACAGGTGATATTGCCTCAATAAACAACACTTGTCACCCTCTTGGGCACAACGCTGGCTGTGCCGCAGACTGTCACCGCTGCGCTGCTGCCCCATATGGGGTTTGCAAGTGT